ATCTTTTGGATGCTCATCAGAAACAACTGATTGCTATTTTTGTCCAGACAAAATGTCCAGCCAATTTAATTAGTATTTGGTCGGACAATTCCAATATCCAATTGTAATTTCAGACTCTGTGCACCAGCATCCAGTCAGTGTCAATCTTCTCAATAGACCTTATGCATAATGACGTCGCAAGGCTCGACGCTGCGAGTAATGCTGGTCTTAGTAGTCATCGCCTGGGAAAATTTCGATTGTGGCCATTTTGAATTGTTTAATTTTCCCAGGCGATGACTACTAAGACCAGCATTCCTTGCGGGCATCAAGCCATGTGACGTCATTATGCATAAGGTCTATTGTCAAGACTCCGCAACTGGGGAAGTCCATTGAAAAGTAATTTTTATCCCAAATATGGCCTAAATGATTGGGAATTTGAACGACATTTACAGATTTGGTAAGTCCCAGCGGACTGTCTGAGGTATTCAAAATATAGATCCAGATCTTGAAATGAAACTGCAACTTGTCTTACAATTACGTTGTTCATTGCAACAGTTTGCATGTCACAATGGTTCGTGCAGCTTGCTGTGTTCTATACAGTGCCGAGCAAAAACTCTAATTGGCCGATTAATCTTATTCTGCGTGGACATTTAGACCAAGCAAATAAAATATGCAATTCATGATTAAATTAAAGACCTGTATATTATTTTATTAGTACGGTTCATTAAGCATTAAAGCGAGAGAAGAAACACTGACAAAACAATTTCTTGGCTTTCTTGTGACAAGCAACAAAATCACATCACAAGTTTAATAGTTTATGGTAGCAGACATGCAGAAAATCCCAAAACATCCAGAAATGCTTACCAGAAACTTTCAGTCCTTGAATTTGGAAACAAAAATTCAAGACCTTGAAAGTCCTTGAGTTTGTAAAGAAGTGCTTGAAAGCCGTTAAATTGGTCTTGCTTTAGTGGATATTTTCTGAAATTGTTTTCCATTAAGAATTGGACATTTTGTAAATTGATTTTGTTCATGTCTTAGAAAGACCAAAGCTGTTTGAAATTCATTAAAGTTGCCGTTTGAACAGTTTAACGTCACTTTTTCTGATTTCTAATGCCTTCTTTCAGTCAGGGGCGGATCAATGCTCATCTGACAGGAGAGGTGCAGATTTCCCTGAAGTGCGATAGTGCGCTGTCGCTACTTGTATATATTTTAGGCATATCGCCATAACCCCTGTTTTGTGACCCCTCCCATGTGATCAACTGATCAAAATGCTTTGCTATTACTTTAGTAACTTGTTTAATCAAGGGAGCACGCAAGAGTTCGTTTTGCCTGTCTTTTAATCACTTTATTACCTTCGTTTTGTTTTTGTCCGCCATTTTGAAAATATATGCGGTATCCTTCATTAATGTATCGCAGGCGCTAATCACGAAGTTCGGCCGAATGAGTTCCGAAACCGAAGGCCGAGCGAAAAGGAAAAAAATTGAGGAAAGGAGGGGAGTGAATTCAACATCACGTGATGGCTTATTGACCAATGGCTATGCGTTATTTGGATTTGGATTTCGGGTTATGCTCGTAACCCAGTCGCAACCAGAAATACACAAGAACTTCATATAATCTAAACAATCTGGCACATATTTTATGACATTTCATTGTTCGGCTGTTCGCGTGAGCGCGAAATGAATTCAAACCGTTGATGGAAATATGGAGTAGCGATTTATAACATGGACAGAATTAATATATAACATTAATTTATAACATTAAACAGAATTTATAATTATATGCATTTTATCACTGACCCGTGACAAGAAAACATTGACCCGTGACGATTATTTAATATTAAAAACAATAGGTAATAATGTACACTACCTGTGTTGTCCATTCTTCTCTGCTTGTGAGTGAAAAATGCATCAAAAGCTGATGTCTGAAAGCCTGTTGAATTTCCTCTGCCACGCTTTTTACTCGCCATGTTTTCAATTTTCACCCGCCATGTTTGTTGGGCCTTAATGCAAATATTTTACGAAGTATTGAATAAGATAGATCGGCGACCGCTGATCGTTCAAATTCGAGTTGCGAGAAAATGGCAAGAGAAATTTCAAAACAATGTGAAATATTTATACGGCATAAACTCGTGAGTTATGAACCTATTTTATAAGTTTGCTATGGAAAACGAAAACACTAATACCTAACTTGTCATTTTAAATAATTATACACATGCTTGATAGACTGACAATACTTAAATTATTTTTTATTAAAAGTTTTATACGTGGCTCAGAAAAATTTACCAGACACAAAAAAATAGCTGGCGGTCTTAGGCCAAACAGGCGGCGGTAAACCGCCGGTAACCGCCTATTAATGAAAACCCTGATTTCTGTATGAAAGAGTCCACACTATCACACAAATGTTGTAACGATGATTCGAACATCTTTTTTGTATCCACCATTTTGTTCTTCGATAAAGGTATATTTTCTTTAAAACAATCACTTTCCTCATCTTGCTCATTAACTGCCAAGTGTTTGTAAAATATCTTAGTTGTCGAGTAAAGGATATATACAAATAATAAACAATTTATAATTACAACAATCTACTCGGTCATTCATCTAACTGCAATTACACCAGCTTGGGTTTATCCAAGTGGTGTATAAAATGAAATCTACAAAAGTATGCAGTTCGATCATACAATGACTATGTAGTGGATTTAATATGGAAGGATACTTGTATTGATTCTTTGTACCAGGAATCCGCTTCTTGATTTTTTTGACGTTTGGAATTGCATCTACCAGGTGACGTCCAAAAACAGAAGGTTGTGTTGGAACTACATTATCAGAGTGGCAACTACTTACATAACTTTTATAAACGTCCTCGCTGGCCAACAGAGAATTATCAGAAACAGAATAACAAAACCTTGTTCGAATTCTGTACCGGCAATTTAAATAAATAAATAAATAGGCCTGTCCAAGTATAAGCCAAGTCAAAGAGAATTATCAAATTCAAAAATTACAATTGACATTGTGTTTGAGTATTTTAAATATACTCACCGATCAAGATGGTTTAAATTTATACCATAATTCATATTACAATAATTTGTGAATATATAATTAGATGTTCCTAGCAACAAAAATGTTCCTGGCAACAGTCAACCAGCATCATACGACAAAATCTCTGAAGTTTCACTCCCCCGCAATTTTTCTTCCTTCGTTTTTCTCTTCACCCGTTATTTTTTAAATTTTCGGTTTCGGAACTCATTCGGCCGAACTTCGTGATTAGCGCCTGCGATACATTAATGAAGGATACCGCATATATTTTCAAAATGGCGGACAAAAACAAAATGAAGTGATTAAATAAAAAGACAGGCAAAACGAACTCTTGCGTGCTCCCTTGGTTTAATTAATACGCACAGTATATTTGCAAAGTATTATTATTCTTTATTTAATAATTATTAATGAATAGTAGTATAAATTAAGTTATTTAATATAGTTGTATAGCCTTTCAGTAGCTTCCTTAGAATATTTCAAATTCGTGAAAATCGTATAGTATTATAGTAACACTAACAAACTAACAAAATTTTAATAAATAAATGAAATAATGAATAGTTTTTCAAGTTCTCAATTTAGTAATAAGTTCATTATACATTTTATACAGATAGACTAGTTAGGTAAGGTTACAGAACACCTTTGAGTGTTAATTTTGCCTAAAATTTTTTTACAGGTTTCCATGATAGCATTAGACTAGTTCTACTACCTGACGAAGTTTGAACGAAAAATGTTGAAAAATCGCAGAGTTATTTAATAAAATACATTTCGCTGCAATAAGAAAAACATTGAAAATGTAATATTCAAATTCAATTTTCTCCCGAAGAATTTTGCGGGTTTCAGCCAGTGTTTCTCAAATTGTCACAGGACAAACCTAAAGTCGTCAGTTTCAAAATTTTGTTCGGCCTTGTTCTAATTTTGGATATTTTAATAATAAAGAGCAATTCACTCAACTGTACAATGGAGAAATATATTGCAGTCGTCAAAGAAATCGCCATATCAGCGGAATGACGAAATAAACAAAAATTTCCGAACACAATTTTTTAGAACAACTATTTTACTGTTTAAAAATGATATTTTCATACATATAACTTAAAACCAGCAGGAGCACAACTTGAAAGCGTAATGGTACTGCGATTTAAGATTTTCCTGAATAATTCTTACATTATTTTATTGTTTGTTAATTTTATGACTTTACCATATTTTGCATGTGCTGGCAAACATTTGGTGAAAGTTTGATGAAAATCGGACTGATTTTGAGCGCGCAGTAGCGATTCTCCGCAAACGCCAAAAAAGGTGTCATATATTATACACTTAATGTCTGCTCCGAGGGAAATAGTTAGTTTTGTTTTCCCGAGAGTCTCAATGTTTCGCGAGACGAAGTCGAGGGAAACATTGAGATTCGAGGGAAAACAAAACTAACTATTTCCCGAGGGAACAGACATTAAGTGTTTTGTTATATAGCGACGAACAAAAATCAACTTCAACAACATTCATATACAACAATTGTTTTTCGTGGCAAAAACTCTATAGAGTAAACGAGTTTAAAATTAAAGAACCTACTTAAACGGTTTCGGCAGCATATCCTGTCTCCTGTTCTGTATTTTTCTTCCCTTTTACATTCTTTATTTGAACACAAACTTGGAAAATCATAGTTTCTAATTATCGTAGTTGTGCCGCCATTTTGTTTATTTATGTACGTGGCTGGTCGGGGCGGGCAACAATTTTTCACTTGTTGCCCGGCGGGAAACATTGCATTTATCTGAAGTCACGTGACCACAAATCAGCCAATCACATTTGGTGTTCACGCTAGCTATATAACAATAAACCTTAATGACTTTAGCCCACCTATTGCGCATGTTTCCCCCATGCTGTTACGACTTCGTCCAAATCCAGCAAATCAACAACATCTCTGTTTAACGAAATGCATAAAAGATCACTTAATCTTTCTGGACGAATGGTTGATCGCAGCTTCGTGCAGATACGAGCCGGAAAATGCTCTTTCCACTGAAGCGGTTGATGTCGAGATGGTGTTCTTAACTGCAATTAAAGAGGTCGAGTTTGGAAGCCTCTTTGGATTTGTTGGTAGAACAATACGGTAATCAACTTCAGCTCTTCCGATTTCTAGTTCGAGGATAGATATATCAATTATTGAGACCGTTGAAAGTATTCAGTAGCGCATCTAGCTCACAGCAAGCCTGCATTTAACCTGCATTAAGAGCATTGATAGCATTAAGGATGTCTTTGTTCTTATAGAGTCAAATCTGACATTAAACTCGTCGTTGAGTTTCTTCTTCTGCTCTACGTTGAGTTCTCCAATAAATTATTTTATCTGATGACCCTGATCATCGGGAGTCGTAAGTCGTAACTGTTGTAGCTCTAGTGTTGTGGATAGGCATTGTGTCGCAGAGAGCTAAGTAAGGGGTTTCCAGTCTTTCTTGAAATTTCTTTCGACTCAATTAATATGTCCTCGTCTTTGATGTTGTTAATTGAATCCAGAGTTCGAGTCAGCTCGTATTGAATGTCCGTCTTGAATGAACGTTTCTTATTAAATTTTTATTATTTTTATTAAACCATCTATATCTATTTATCTGATATTCGGACCTCTGCCTTCCATTTCTCGTAGCAATTTTTATGAACTTCTGATTTCTGGTGTTTCATAAAACAACAGAAAGTCGAAAGACGAAGCACAAAGTTTTCATATTTTGTTGTGGCTTTCCCTCCGGTTTTCTTTCTTTATTTGATATTTTCTACATGCCTAATACAATTTTAAAAGCTGGTCAGAACCTCACCAACGATCTGGAAATTGACGTTGTTCGTTTTCTGCCACTGTTCTCCGGCGGTTTCGATTCAGCCGTTTCACACACCAAAATTAGACTTGCGCTCATAGCTCAGATTATACTTAGCCTTTTCACTGAATTTTTAGGCTTAGTTTCTGAGGCTTAGTATTCTACCTTGTTTTTTTTTTCACCAAAGCAGTTTAGTTTAGTCGTAGCTTTTTATCTGGTCTTTTTACTAAAATTGAATATGCGTTTGGATATTTAATCTTCAGACGTTTTTACGTAGTATATCTAGTTTTATAAATACTTGTCTTAGTATAATATATGATATAATTTCATTTGTTGAAGTTATCAGTAAGTTGTACTCTTACTGCTAAATGTATAAGTTTCTTAAATAATGCATGCCATTTTCGAATTTTTCTGAGGGGGGTGCTAGAAAATTTTGGGGGGTGCGCACCCCCCTGCACCCCCCCCAGAAAATCCGCCCCTGCTTTCAGTCCTATAGTCCTTGAATTTTCTTGAATTTAACTTTCCCATACCTGTACGAACACTGCAAGCAGTGTGACTGATCATGTGGGAAGTGATCAGTTGGAGCAAACAATGTAAATATTGAAAAGCTGGCCAAGTTGCCAACCAGTATTGCCCAATGTCCCACCAACATCTGTCAGACCCAAGCGGAATTGTTATAATTCACACTGGTTTAATAGTGCCATTATTATTTTGAATTATATTTAGAGAATTTTTTGAGGATGTTTCCAAAGTTGCTATCCAATATGTTTCACCAAAACAACCAAATGAGCCTTCTAATTCAAAGGTGGGTCATGCAAGGCAGATATCCTGATATTAAATATTCTTTATTGATCAGTTTTTAAAATATTGTATGTAGGCAGTTGCGATATTGAAAAAATCGATATATCGATATCGAAAAAAAAATATCAATAATATCGACTATATCGAATTATGCAAATGAGAAAACGTAATTTAGTCAACTAGCGTGTATACGCATCACAAACAGTTAACAAGAAGTGTGTTATTTCGGTACCTTGTTTTTAAACCTGCGTCGATACGCGCATCATTAACATTCAAATTATTGCGAATTCTATGTTTATGAGTCATCACAAAACTATTGTTTTCAAGCGTTCAATGCCGCTGCCCTGGTGATCTTCTGTGGTGACAGTTTCTCTGTTTTCGGTTTTAATTTCAATATTTTCGACATGCGAAAAATCGACTATCGAACATCGATATTTTTGAAATATCGATATTTATCGAAAATATCCATCTATCGCAACTGCCTAAGTCTGGCATACTGTATACTGGGCTACTCCAATAACCCCCACCCCCTCTCTTTCGAAATCAAATTATGTCCGTTGCAATTACGGGGGTAACGTCCATCCATGGAAATTATGATAACATTTAGCTTTCTTTCACGAAATGAAGTTTATCCTCTCCATTGCAATCTCAAAGAGGTCCATGGTATTCTAAGACTATTATTTAACCCATCCATATTTCAAGAGTTTTTTACCTCGCCCCCCCTCACCTCATGGAATTGTAAAGTTTCTTGATGAGAGGTGTGGTTTAAAATTGAAATATTGCCGATTTGTAAAGTATGGAAAGTTATGTAAATTAATAATATTATTTACATTCAAAGTAAAGTTGAGATGTTCTGATCCTTCAAGGATCGTAGCTTACGTTCGGGGCCCCTTCATCAGATCGTGTAACCACAAACTCATCAGTTTTAATCGTTTAATAAGGAATATATAAGCTTTACAAAAACAATGAAAATTTTTTGATAGGCCGAGGTGGGCAAGAAAATGAAATTTCTTGACAGGTCCGGGGTGGGCAAGAAAATGAAATTTTTTTGACAGGTCTGCGGTGGGCAAAAAAATGAAACTTTTTTGACAGGACCGGGGTGGCCAAGAAAATGAAAATTTTTTGACAGGTCCAGGGTGGGCAAAAAAATGAAAATTTTTTGACAGGTCAAGGATGGACAAAAAAATTAAAATTTTTTGACAGGTTCGGGGTGCGAGAAAAAATGAACATTTTTTGACAGGTCTGGGGTGGGCAAAAAATGAAAACATACAGTAATAATTTTTGAACAAATTCTCATTTTTTCACCCACCCCGGACCCATGAAAAAATTTTCATTTTTTCGCCCACCCCGGACCCATGAAAAAATTTTCATTTATTTGCCCACCCCGGACCCATGAAAAAATTTTCAGTTTTTCGCCCACCCCGGACCCATGAAAAAATTTTCAGTTTTTCGCCCACCCCGGATCCATGAAAAAATTTTCATTTTTTCGCCCACCCCGGACCCATGAAAAAATTTTCATTTTTTCGGACCCATGAAAAAATTTTCATTTTTTCTCCCACCCCGGACCCATCAAAAAATTTTCATTTTTTCGCCCACCCCGGACCCGTGAAAAAATTTTCATTTTTTCGCCCACCCTGGACCTTGAAAATTTTTTTCATTTTTCCGCCCACCCCGGACCTTGCAAAAAATTTTCATTTTTTCGCCCACGCCGGACTTTGAA